GGGGCGCAACAGTTCGGACGGCAGTTCGTCCAGGCCGTTCGGGGCTTGACTGCCCGTTCAGGTCTACCTCGCACTGACGGGAGGTGCCGCGAGTCGAGCAGGGGTGGGGAAGAACACTCTCCCCCCTGGCGCGGACTAGAAGGGTCCCCGACTGAAAATCAGAAGGGGTCTGACGTGTTCAGGGCGTGGCACGCCCCGTCCGCACACTCGAGCAAGAGGCGCAGGATTCCAGCGCGCTTTGTGAACCGTGGTGCCTCCTTGGGGCACCCCCTGCAGCGGCCCAGTGCAAAGGCCACGGAACAGCTGCCAGTTGTTATCGTAAGGCACTCGAGAGAGAGAGAAGAGGCTAGCACTGGTGCGCTAGCGGTGAGCTTCCCTGGAGAGTGACCCTGGGAGAGGCGGTTGGACGGAAGGCCTGGTGCAGGTCGTTCCAGGCGGACTGAGCTCGTTGGAATCAGTCCAGCAGAGATGGTAAGCAGAGTCTGCTCAAGGTTGGCAGTTCGCTGTTGCAGCGCCGTGATGCTGGCGATGGGAACAGCTTCACGCTCCCGATCTGGCTGTGCCTGGCCGCCATGAAGTGCTACTTGAGGGCGTGCCTGCGCTCCTGATTCCTCTTGGGGGACTGAGGCGGGGTGTCAATGCCCTCGCGCTTTGCGGCTCAATCCGCCATGATGCAGTCCTCGTCGTCGCGAAGGCCTGGTCGGGCCGCTGCGCTGTGGGGCTTTGGTTCGGCGACGGTGGTGCGACAGCCTGCCTTGCTGCGCTGGGTGAGCGCTGGGCAGTCCTCCGTGCGCTGGTACCACGCTGTTTCGTCTCTGGGGGCGGCAAGGGGCGTCGTGCCCCTCTGCTGATTCCACGGTGGTGTCACCAGCGCAGCGCTTGCAGGTGCGGCCTGGTGGCCGCACTGTCCTGGAAAGTCGGGGCAGTGCTGGTGCCCGGGCCACCTGGTTGGTATCCCAGCACGGGCGCCGCTGAAGCGATGGTCTCTGGTGAGACGATCCTCCCCGTCGGCGTTCTCGGGGCTATTGGGCGGGTGTGTGGACGCTTTGACGATGGCAAAGTCCCCCCTACTGGTTTTGTCCCACCCTGTGTGTTGGCCTTCACTGTGCCATTAAATGGATGCGAGAACTTTGGCGGCGGTTTGTGCTATCGTGGCACTCTGGGGTTCGATGCCCGTGACGTGATACTTCGTATTCGCAAGCGCCGTGTCGGTTCCTCTGAGCTCGAGGGCGACTTGCGTGGCTTCGTTCGTGTCGGGCTTCGCGCGGGTGCATGCTCGCACGTCGTCGCGAATGGCTCCGAAGGCGTTGATCTTTTGGGAGGTCTGGTGGGCCTCTTGGAGTGTGATGTGTTGGCCGTCTTGATGCTTCACCGTGGTGTGCTTACTGGTCGCTGTGCGTCTGGTGCCGTGGTAGCCGAGGTCAAGCTGGGTACCCCACCCGGCTTAGGAGGCCAAGCCAATTGAGACGTCGGTGTGTTTGATGCCGACATTGGCGGTGAGCCTGCGCTTGCCCCTCTGCCATGCCGTGACGTTCAAGTGGCTTCATTGTCTCCTGCATTTGTGTGGTGTGGAAGTGGGAGGAAATTATAGCAGTGACAGCGTCGATGAGGTTGCCATCGAGCTGTTTGCGTGCATCGTCATGCTTCGCCGTCTTGTGGCGCTCTTTGGTCCTCTGCTGTGCCGTGCCTGTACCTCCTGGCTGACGCGTGCCGTTGGTGAGAGCTGCTCCCGAGAGCTGGGATGTGAATGGCTTCTGCAGTGCTGACGTGACGGCAACGGCACCAGTTTCGCAAATTGTTCCACGGATCCAGATCACATTGCCTGCGGGATCAAGGGTCACCTGGGCGACATTCTGCAGGCGCTTGACTTCTGTGCGGCCTAGTTGGTAGATGGTTTCCTGTATGTATCCTGGCGTGGGTTTAGGATCAGGAAGTGTCACCCTGGGTGGACAGTGCTGTATGGTCCCAGGGTGGCCAGCGCGATTGGCTCATCGTGTCGGCGGATGTGCTGCAGGAGCGTGCGTTGCCTTCTTCTAGCGTGTCAAGGGAGATGCTGCTGGTGTGAGATGCGCCGTCTCCTCCTCCTCCTCCTCCTCCTCCTCCTCCTCCTCCTCCTAGGAATTGTGTCGAAACGGGCGGGGCGGGGCGCGTTCGGGCACGGCAGGGGCGTGCCGAACGAAGCGAACGGACCGCATGCAGGCGCCCTCCCTGGTGCCGCTGGTGGAGCTTCCCATGTGGACAGCGATGCGTGTGAGGGTGCACACCGAGAATGGCGGAGGGGACCCCATGCGCGCGCCCTCGCGGTTGCCGCAGATAGAGCTCCCCATAGGGCACGATCCGCATGATGGGGTGTGCCGAAATTGCAGGCCCCGTTCTTGGGACGCCCTACGTCGTCCTGGCCAATGCCCTTTCCTATCCCCCCCCGATCCTTCCTCCCATCCCTCCTCCTATCCCTCCTCCTATCCCTCCTCCTATCCTTGCATCCCTCTTCTTCTCCCTCTATGCTCTCTTCCAATCCCTCCTCCCATCCTTTCTCTGGTCCCTCCGTCTACCTCTCCCATCCCTCCTCCCAGCCCTCGCCCAGCAGTTCCGTTGGACACATCGCGAAACTGGACACACGCCAATCAGCGCGTGACAGATTCATGCCACCTCTTCTTCAGTTCCGCGCGCGCCATGGCTCCAGTTCCCCAGGCGCGCCATGGGATGCCGCATGGCCCTCCTCCTCCTCCCCCCCTCCTATGTCCCCCTCTCCTCTCCCTCCCTAACTCCTCCTCCCCCCCGCCCCCCCTCCTCCCACGTAGAGATTCCTCCCCTCCTCGCTCCTGCCTCCTCCTCACCCCCTCGACACTCTTCCTCCTTGTCTCCTCCCGCATCTCGCACCCCTCCTCCCATCCTCCCACCCTCCTCCCCCCCTCTTCCTTCCCCTCCATCCTCATCCCCCTCCTCCTCCTCTCTCCTCCTCTTCCTTCTCCTCCTCCTCATTCTCCTCCTCCTCCTCCTCCTCCTCCTCCTCCTCCTCCCCGATCTTGCTTTCCCCGCACACTTCATCCGGTCGCCCCTGGGCTTGCGCTGGGGCGGTGTTGTTTGTCAACGGTGTCGGGCTCGGTTCGGTGCTTGTGAGCGAGGTCGTAGTGTACCAGCGACTGCTCTGTCGACGCCGCCACTGCTTTGGAGTGCGGCGGCGCAGGCTTCCTTGCGGCTCAGGTTCGAATCCTGGGGGGCGTGCAAGGTCTTTAGGCGGCCCTTGCCTGATCGCTTCGTCTGCGTTGGTGCTGGCGGCGCACGGTGCTGACCTTTTGGAGCCATGGCGCGCGCGGAACTGAAGAAGAGGTGACCCGAATCTATCACGCGCTAATTGGCGTGTGTCCAGTTTCGCGATGTGTCCAACGGAACTGCTGGGCGAGGGCTGGGAGGAGGGATGGGAGAGGTAGACGTAGGGACCAGAGAAAGGATGGGAGGAGGGATTGGAGGAGAGCGCAGAGGGAGAAGAAGAGGGATGCAAGGATAGGAGGAGGGATAGGAGGAGGGATGGGAGGAGGGATGGGGGGGGGGATAGGAAGGGGCAGTGGCCAGGACGACGCAGGGCGTCCCAAGAACGGGGCCTGCAATTTCGGCACACCCCATCATGCGAATCGTGCCCTATGGGGAGCTCCATCTGCGGCAACCGCGAGGGCGCGTGCATGGGGTCCCATCCGCCATTCTCGGTATGCACCCTCGCCCGCATCGCTGCCCACATGGGAAGCTCCACCAGCGGCACCAGGGAGGGCGCCTGCATGCGGTCCGTTCGCTTCTTTCGGCACGCCCGTGCCGTGCCCGAACGCGCCCCGCCCCGCCCGTCTCGACACAATTCCTAGGAGGAGGAGGAGGAGGAGGAGGAGGAGGAGGAGGAGGAGGAGGAGAGGAGGAGGAGGAGGATAGGAGGAGTCTGGAGGAGGAGGAGGAGGAGGAGGAGGAGGAGGAGGAGGAGGAGGGAGGAGGAGGAGGAGGAGGAGGATCGTGCCCCATGGGGAGCTCAGCGCGCCTCTGCGCGCTGAGCTCGCCAGCCCCGGTGCCCCGTTTTGCACCGACCCCTACCTGTCCCTCCCTGGGCGCACCGGTGTGTGCGGATGGGGGTCCTCGCCCCGCGCTGCACGCAGCCGCAGCGGGGTGGCCCTTTGTCGCCAGGCTGGACATTCACGGAAGGGGCGGGGGCCCAGGGTTCTCTTTTAAGTGGGTCTATTTTTCCCCCCCCCTGAATCGACTTGAAGAGGGCCGGGGACATTATTCTGCGATTGAGAACGAGGTCGAAGAGAGAGGGCTGGCGAATTAGAATTTGAGGATGTCCCTGGCGAAACGGTGGTTTTTGAAATTCCGATCGATAAAACATAGGGCAAAGTAAGCATTTTCGTTTGTTGCGGATGTCTTGAACGAAACGCACGTTTTGCAGAATTTGTTGAGGATGTCTCGAGCGAAACGCTTGTTTTGGAGACTTCCAGGAACCTGGACGCCCAAGGATGCCCCAGGGGGCCCTGGGAGTGCGGACGCAGCGTAATTTAAGAGGGATCGTGGCCCTGGGAGCGGACGCAGCATAATTTACACTGGATCGGGGACCTGGGAGCGCAGACGCAGCGTGAAATCCGATGGATCGTGGCCCTGGGAGCGCGGACGCAGCGTAATTTAGCAGGGGTCGTGGCCCTGGGAGCGCGGACGCAGAGTAATTTACGAGGGATCCGGGGTCCCGTGGCGCGTTCCATGACGCGTTCCCTGGCACGTTCCCTGGTGCGTCGCTGGGCACGTTCGCTGGCACGTTCCGTGGCGCACCCCGTGGTGAGTCCCCCTGGCACGTGGCGCGGCGCGTCCCCTGGCACGTCACGTGGCATGTCCTTTGGCACATTCCGTAGCGCGTTCCCTTGGCACGTCCCGCGGTGCGTCCCTATGGCACGTCCCCTGTCGCGTCCCCTGGCGCGTCCCTTGGGACGCTCCCCGGCGCGTCCCCCTGGCATGTCCCCCTGTGATTTAGCTCTGGGGCAGCTTCTATGTGCTCAGGCAGCTCGAGCTTAAGATCCAGATCAGTTCGGTCAGGACTCGGATGCAAAGGAGGACTCGATCCACAACGCTATAGAGCACAATCGCGGCATGGCACATCGCAATTCAGCACGGCGCAGCACAGCACAGCCCTAGGCAGGGTACATCAAGATCGACACACTCAGCATTGCAATTGCCCGTCGCCCAATCAGGTGTCTTGAAAACGCTACCATGCCTTACATTTCTATTTTTCTTTCTGGGTTCGGGGGTCCATCATGATTTTTCCGGGAAGCAAGAGGTCTGGATAGTCGCTTGCTGCCAGTCGCGAGGCCTCGCATGCTTACGTTGCGCCCTAGGTGCTCGCATCCATCCGCGGGTGTTTCGCCCTAGCCTGGGTGACCCCGTCCAGCCACGAGGGATCGCATGGTGGCGCCTGTGTTGGCCACCGGTGGGTCGCGCGTGTGCACTGGCGGGAGTTGCCGACCTCTGGTCGGGCCTGTGTTGCCCCGAGGTGAGGGCCGTCACGTCCAAGTTCAAGAGCCCGCCGCCGCCGCCCCTGCCGCTGGCGCCCGTGCGTGCTGGCGGCTTCCCGCCCCTTCCGGAGCCGCCGCAGCCGCCGTCGAAGTACGGCTCCCCCGCGAAGGCTGGGCCGCCGTCCGCGATGGAGCCGCCGCCCTCGGCTCGGGAGATCCCCCGATCTGTCGCTGCGAGCCCGGCCGTGGACGGACGCTCCGCCCGTCCAGTCTTGCGATCGATGGTGCCCTCGATCGGGCCGGCCAGCTCGGGATCGGGATCGGGCCCCGCAGCGGCCCGGATCGGGCGGTCCCTCCGAGGCCCTCGGTGAGAGAGGCGGATGCGCCCGAGGACTCCAGGCCGAGGGTCGCTCGGCCGGCAGGGTTTCACGCTGCGGACACCACGCTGAACGTCAGCTACTCGTCGGATCGTGGCCTTCTGATGTGTTATGCAGTTGCGCTGCCGCGCGATTCCGCCACCGCGCTCGGGCGGGCGGGAGGGGGAGGGCAGGGCGCCTTGGCGGGAGGGGGGGGGGGGCGGGGCGGGTCCACGGACCCCCCCCCTTCCGCAGGCTGTGTGTCTGGGATGATTTTCTGCCTGGGGGGCCCAGAACGCGGGGGTTTGGCCGCAAACACGGGCTCGACGCGCAAGGGGGACCCCTTATCATGGCTGCGCAGCACGGCGAGGGGGCCCGACGCTCACCAACCACTGCAAGCGCGGGTGGCGGACAACGAGGGTCCCCTCTCGCACCTCGTCGCGGGCGCGAGGGCCAGCGTGGGGCTGCGGTCGGGCAGATACATGTTCGAGGCCAGGATTGTGGAGTACACGACGCAGGCAGAAGGCCCGCATCCTCAGGTCGCCGCCCGCGGGAACCTGGGCAAGACTCTCGTCCGCTTCGGCTTCATGACCTCTGGCGGCATGCCTGTCCTGGGCGACACGGACGAGAGCGTGTGCTTCGACTCCGAGGGCGGCTTCATTGCCAACCGGAGGAGGACATGGGCGGCTGGGGGCGTGCAGTCGAGAGGGCCGAACGGAGGACCACCCTGGACTCCAGGAGGGGCCCCGGTTGGCGGGCCATTCCCCGGGCCTGCACCGGGGGACCTGCCTACTCGCGGCCGCGGCTCTTCGCGGCAAGAACAGGCCCTTCGTTTCTTACCTGGCGTTCCTCGTGGTACTACTATGACTGCATTCTTGGTCGGGTGACCACAGGGTATGAGTCGTACGTGCTCACTCGTATTTGGAAATGCGTGTGCGCTTTGCGGCGTGTGAGACATATAGACAGCATGTGATGTACCTACGTGTGCCATGCGAGTCATGTGTCGGAGCGTAATACAAACAGCCTTTTGAGACCCTGTCTTGGATCCTGGTGGCATCTTGGGAGATAGTTCGATCTCGTCTGACCCATCAAAGAGGTCCAGCGGCGGGCAGGCTAAACTTCGAAACAGTTAAGAAGCACAGATGATTTGTTTCGGGGTGAGTAGGTGAGGGGGGTGGGGACGGTGAGTACAGCAAGCAATCAGCGTGAGGAGTTACTGCGATCTTTGAGCTTCCCAGGATACCGATGAATTATTGCCGGTTCGGCCTCGACAACGTCGTCGCGCTCGTCATCAACCTGGACGATGGCGTCCAGCACAGCCGCACTGTCAGTCTGTACAAGGACGGGGAGCTGCAGGGCAAGCCCATGCCAATCCCGGACGTGCTGAGAGGAAAGGCGCTCTTTCCCACCGCCACGTTCAAGAATGCCACCATACATTTCGGCTTCGGCCCCGAGCCACGGTGCGCATTGCCCTTCAGGTGCCGCATGGTGAACGATGCTTCGCAGGAGGACGTGAGCGTTGTGGAGCCCGAGGCTCGGAAGGATGGTAGGCACGAGCTCTTGATGCCGGTGCTGCTGCCAGACCAAGGTGGCTTTGACTGGTTGGATTGGTTCCTGGAGAGGAACCCGGGCTACACCGAGCTCAGCGACAGGAAGATCGCGGAGTGGGCGCAGAGGAGCGGGTTTTGGAGGCCCCCCGCAAAGGGCAAGCTGAGCTGCGACAGGCCCGACTTCGGCTTCGGAGTGCCGTCGCTCGATGATGGCAGTGCGCGCGAGCTGCTGAAGCTGTCGGCTGCATTGCAGGGCCGCGATTACGTCCCGATCCCAGTAGACGTCTGTTCAACGTACAGAGCTCGATCAGCGATCGCCAATGCAGTGATCGTTCGATGCACTTTTTGGATCAGCGGAGTTTTCCGCCTCTCAGAAGGGACTGGGCCAGTTCGAGATGGCTCTGGGGGAGCCAAAAATGTACCGAGACCGCTACTCTCCAGACCTCTACCAGGGTGCGTTCTGACCAGAACTTCGAGGAGAACTCAGCCGTGGGGACTGCAGGGCCCTCCAGAACGAGCAGAGGCATCGGTCTCTCCTCCTCCTCCTCCTCCTCCTCCTCCTCCTCCTCCTCCTCCTCCTCCTCCTCCTCCTCCTCCTCCTCCTCCTCTGGGGGCCAGGGTGCAACTGTGGATGGATCAAGTCCCGTGCTCGCGCGCGCGTGTTTTGCCGAGGTCCTGATGGAGATCAGGGGGAACCTCCTGAAAGAGGAGCGCGCGGCGGCCCTCCGGCGCTTCGGCCGCCACCGCTTCCGGCGCGTGGCCCGGGTGCTCGTGGGCGAGCCGTCCGCGGAGTACGGGGCCTTCGTGCTCGACCGCGCCCTGAGGCGCAAGCAGGCCTCCTCCTCCCTCCTCCTCCTCCTCCCTCCTCCTCCTCCTCCTCCTCCTCCTCCTCCTTCCTCCTCCTCCTCTCTCCTCCTCCCTTCTCCTCCCTCCTCCTCCTCCTCCTCCTCCTCCTTCTCCTCCTCCTTCTCCTCCTCCTCCTCCTCCTCAGTGCTGGCTGAAACCACTTGCAGTCCGCTTCGACGCGATTCGATTCGCTGGCTGTGCCGCGATCCCGACTGTCTTCGGCCCGATTCTCTCTGGCGTCGGCTGGGGTCGGCCAGAGCCAGAAGCGGCGGTCCGATTCCGAGTCGACCTCGGGACGATTCGCTGGGGATCCGCTCTGTCTCCGATCCGATCCGGCCTCGCGATGCTACCTGGCTCGGGCCTGCCTTGGCCTCGGCAGAGCAGAGCACCAGCTCTTTTGAGAGAGACTCTCGTTTTTTTTTGTTGGTTTGTTTTCTAACGTGTGGGGGGGAAGCGGGACGGCAGCCGCAGTGTCAGCCACGACGCTGGGGCCTACAGGAACCGGAAGCATGGGTTGAGGCGCGTGGGCTCAGCACGGGCTCCGCCTCCGCGCGGCTTCGGCGCGCTTCGTCGCCACGCTGGGCGGCCGTGGCCCAGTGCTTCTGGGAGGGCCGTTCTCCCCGATCACTCTGTGCTGGCCGGCGTGCGCCCGAGCCTTTGGGCCGCCGAGGCCGCCTCGGACGACGCCCGCAGCGGCGACCAGGCCCGGAGGGCGCTGGCTCGCAGGCGGGACCAGCTCCAGAGGCGCGCCGCGCGGGCGGCGAAGCGGGCCGAGCTCGAGGCACAAGGTCTGCCCGCGCCGGCCGAGGACGCGGAGGCGTCCGACGAGGAGAGGGAGGGCGCCGCGGCCGAGGAGGGGCAGGCGCCGGCCGTGGTGCTCACAGAGGAGCGAGCAGCAAACGAGCGGCTCGAAGAGGTGGGGTCGGCTACGCCGAATACTCGCGCGTGCGCTGCCCGCGCGGGCTCGCGCGTGGGCGCTTCTCGCTTTCAGTGCAGCGTGCCGCGCTGGCTGCCCGCGGAAGCTGTGGCGTAAGGTCGCTGTGTCGTCTCGCGTCAGACCCGCTGCTTGTCGTCGCTCAAGTTGCATGAGCACAAGCTTGCGTAGCTCCGCGCGGATTTCTTGGATCGGCGCTGGGGGCCCCCTGGTCCCGCGCGCCGGGGAGTGGGGCCCAGCGCCGATCCGTGAAGTCCGCTCGGAGCTCTGGAAGTTTATGTTTGTGCAGTTCTGTTTCTTTTTCTCAGAGGAAGAGAAGGCCAGCTTCTTCCAGAAGCAGGCCGACGACCCTCCCGATCTTTCGGAGAGCGCCCTCAACACCTCGCTGCTGAAGTTTTCCCTCCCCGGCGAGGAGGAGGGCTTCGACGAGGTGAGGTACGAGTGGTCGCAGTCCGCCAGCGCGGCACGGCACCTGAAGGGCTGGGTCCAGGAGCGTAAGGCGGACTGCCGGATCGAAGACCTGCAGCCGTCGGAGTGGTTCGCCGAGAGATGGAAGGCATCTGAGGGCCAGAGGTCCCACGAAAGATGTGATTTCCATAGAGTCGATCTTGTGTACCTATGTGTGGCTACATGACTACATTGGCCCTTTGCTCTATGTACCTAGGTGCTTCCTGCGGGCGTATAATACATGTATACATGTATGTATATATATATATATATATATAGATATACACAGGTGTAGAGGAAGGTTATACGTCCTTGTTTTGTCGTCGTCGTTGCCCTGTCTTGTTTTCTCATTCTCTTTGATTTCTTCTCCCTCATTTTTTTTTTGTTTTTTTGCGAGAGGCTCCTCCTTGGAAAGCTCCTTGGGAGCCTCGATATTTTTCGGGGCTCGTTGGGTGCTTCTGGAGGCCTCCTGGGCGCCTTGTGCGCCTCTGAGGCCTTCCTCGGGCCACCTTGCTGCGAACCACGATTCGGAGTGAGTGCCTCAGGTGCTGTTTTTTGGGTCATCCTGTGCCGTCACGGGGCTCTCTTCGGGCCATCTTGGGGGCCCCGTTGGGCCGTCCTGTGAATCTCTTGGACTGTCCGCTGGCCCTCTCGGGTCGTTCTGGGACGATTTTCGAGCTCCTTGGGCGGCGTCGGTAGCCCGCAAGACCGAACGCTAGGGTCTACCGACCTGATCTTCTGATTTGGTTCTGCCACGGGTTTCCTGCTCCTGGCCTCGCTCCTGCTATTCTACCTCGTGTTCCATCCTTCTCCCTTCCCGTTCCATTCGTCCTCTCTTCCCCTGTCTTAGGGGCTGCACCAATTAAACGCGGCAGGTACGGAAGATATACCCCTAGGGGGGTCCGATCGAAGACGAAGAGCGCGGGTATCGAGGGTTTGGGATAGACGTGTTGAATGCCACGCGAGCAATTAAGTACGATCACTCTTAAAGTGTTTGTTGTTGTTGTTGCAGTTGCTGTTGCTGCTGTTGTGTCTGCTGTTTCTGTTGCTGTTGCTGTTGCTGTTGCTGCTGCTGCTGCTGTTGTTGTTGTTGTTGTTGTTGTTGTTGTTGTTGTTGTTGTTGTTGTTATTGTTGTTGTTGTTGTTGTTAATTGTTGTTGTTGTTGCTATTGTTGTTGTTGTTGCTGCTGCTGTTGTTGTTGTTGTTGTTGTTGTTGTTGTTGTTGTTGTTGTTGCTGCTGCTGCTGTTGTTGTTGTTGTTGTCGTTGTCGTTGTCGTTGCTGTTATTGTTGTTGTTGTCGTCGTTGTCGTTGTTGTTGCTGTTGTTGTTTGTTGTTGTTCATGTTGTTGTTGCTGTTGTTGTGGTTGTGGTTGTGGTTGTGGTTGTGATTGTGGTCTCCGGTGACCCTTGCGTTTTTCAATTGAAGTGCTTCCTCCCCGGCTCGCACCTGGTTTTTTACTAGGGAAAGTCACGGGACTCAAACTGGGTTGTTGGCCCCCAGATTACAACAACAACGGCTCCCGCTTGAAACATTCACAATTTAGCCAGGACCCCCGCTCCCGCCTGAGACTTCCTCGCGTTTTACTGAGGAATCGCGCTCTTGCTTGGGACGTCCTTACGCTTTATTCAGGGATCGCTCTCTCGGCGCTCTGGAGTCGCGCTCTCGTTGTAGACTTGCTTGCAACGTAGTAAAGAATCGCGCTTTTGCGTTGGAATTCCCCGCGATTTACTCAAGCACTGCGCTCCCGACACTCAGGCACCCAGGAGTCGCGCTCACGCTTAGGACTCCCTCACAGCTGACTTCGGAATCGGGATCTCGCTGCCCTTCGTGGCCCCGTTGCAGCCCTTCGTGGCCACCTCGCTGCCCTTCGTGGACCCCTCGCTGCCCTTCGTGGCCCCCTCGCTGCCCTTCGTGGCCCCGTTGCAGCCCTTCGTGGCCCCCTTGCTGCCCTTCGTGGCCCCGTTGCAGCCATTCGCGGCCCCCTCGCTGTCCTTCGTGGCCCAATTGCTGCCCTTCGTGGCCCCCTCGCTGGCGCCCAAGACTGCCCAAGAGGGCCCCAAGACGGCCCCAAGAGGGGGACCACGAACCGAAAAGTCTAGCCTTTCGCCCCAAGACGCTCCCAGGAGGCCTCAAGAGCCCCCCAAGAAGCCCCAAGAGGCCCCCAAGAGGCCCCCAAAAGGGCTCCAAAAGAGCCCGAATAAGGCTCCCAAGAAGGTCCAGAGACGCCAAATAAAGAGCGATCGGTAACGCGAAAAGCTTTTCACACTAAGGCTCCCATGAGCGAACGGTGACATAAACAAGCTGATAAGACCAAGGCTCCCAGCAGAGAACGGTGACGTAACAAGTTCCTGACACCAAGGTCCAGCCAAGGCTCAGGAACGGGCGGCAACGCAACAATCTCTGAACACCAAGGCTCCCCAGAGCGAGGGGTGACGTAACAAGCTCCCAACGCCAAGGCTCCCAGTACGAACGGTGGTGTGAGTAATTTCGGTTTCTGCTTCTGCAGCGCTCTTTCCGTTTCCGTGCCGGCCCAGGCAACGGAAAGAGCGAGGTACGAGTGATGACGTTCCAGTGTGGGGCGAAGCCCTTAAGGGAGGGGTTCCAGGGGAGGGGCGAGGCGTAGGCGCAGGGTTGGAAATGGTCGTTTTCGGGTTTTCCCTTTGGTTTTTGCATGTTTTTTCGGGTTCCCCCCGAGACGGCCCAAGAGCGCTCCAAGAGAGCCCAAGACCGCCCAAAACGGCCCAAGAGGCCCCCAGGAGGCCCCCAAGAGGCGCCCAAGGGGCGTCCCAAGAGGGCCCCAAGAGGCCAAAACCATTGATCTTCCTTCTGGAAACGTGCATTTTTGGCATGTACGACTTTTCGGCTTTCACGGCGTTGACGATGGCCCAAGAGGCCCCCAAGACCGCACCAAGACTGCCCAAGAGGCTCCCAAGAGGCCCTCAAAACGGCCCAAGAGGGCCCCCAGACGGCCCAAGAGGCGCCCAAGAGGGGACCACGAACCGACAAGTCTAGCCTTTCGCCCCAAGACGCTCCCAGGAGGCCCCAAGAGCCCCCCAAGAAGCCCCAAGAGGCCCCCAAGAGGCGTCCCAAGAGGCCACCAGGAGGCCAAAATCATTGTCATTTCCCATGGGGAAATGTACATTTTTAGCATGCACGGCTTTTCGGCTTTCACGGCGTTGACGACGGTCCAAGAGGCCCCTAAGACCGCCCCAAGACGGCTCAAGAGGCTCCCAAGAGGCTGCCAAGACGGCCCAAGAGGGCGCCAAGACGGCCCAAGAGGCGCCCAAGACGGCCCACGAGGGCCCCAAGACGGCCGCAAGAGGGGGACCACGAACCGAAAAGTGTAGCCTCAAAACGCTCCCAGGAGGCCCCAGGAGCCCCCCAAGAAGCCCCAAGAGGCCCCCAAGAGGCGTCCCAAGAGGCCACCAGGAGGCCAAAATCATGGATTTCCCATGGGAAGCATTTTTAGCATGCACGGCTTTTCGGCGCTGACGACGGTCCAAGAGGCCCCAAGAGGCCGCCAGAACGGCCCAAGAGGGCCCCAAGACGGCCCAAGAGGCTCCCAAGAGGCCGCCAAAACGGCCCAAGAGGGCGCCAAGACGGCCCCAGAGGCGCCCAAGACGACCAAAGAGGGGCCCAAGACGGCCCCAAGAGGGGAACCACGAACCGAAAAGTCTAGCCGTTCGCCCCAAGAAGCTCCCAGGAGGCCCCAAGAGCCCCCCAAGAAACCCCAACAGGCCCCCAAGAGGTTCCCCAGAGGCCTCCAAAAGGGTTGTAAAAGGGCCCCAATCGGACTCCCAAGAAGGCCCAGAGACGCCAAATGAAGAGCGATCGGTAACGCAAAATGCTCTTCACACCAAGGCTCCCAAGAGCGAACGGTGACGTAAACAAGCTGATAAGACCAAGGCTCCCAGCAGAAAGCGGTGACGTAAGTAACAAGTTCCTGACACCAAGGCCCAGCCAAGGCTCAGGAACGAGCGGCAACGCAACAATCTCTGAACACCAAGGCTCCCAAGAGCGAGGGGTGACGTAACAAGCTCTCAACGCCACGGCTCCCAGTACGAACGGTGGTGTGAGTAATTTCGGTTTCTGTTTCTGAAGCGCTCTTTCCGTTTCCGTGCCGGCCCCAGGTCTAGTGGCCGTCGGCCCATCCGCCACCGAGCCTGGGTTGTGCGTCGGAGTCCTAATGTGTGCTTCTTGGAGTTTCATCGGAGGGCTCGGGCTCTCGGGGGCCTAGGGGGCAGTTTTGACGCGTCTTGGGGCCTCCCGGGGCCCCCCTGGAGGCTTCTTGGGGCCTCTTGGGGGCCCCTTGGGGGCCTCTTGGGCCTCCCAGGGGCCTCTTGGGGCGGAGAGCCCGCCATTCGAAGTGTCGGTCGTGCTGCCCCTGTGGGATCACTCTTGGAGCCATGCGTGCACAGACCTGCATCCTCGCCTGTATACGTCCCGCAACCAGGGTATGCACCTTGGCACCCCTGCTCAGGTTGCCGGCGCGATTCGATGGGCGTGGCGAACGGTTCGCCCGGTTGCCGTCCCTGGGCGCCTCGCGGGCGCTCCGTGCACCGGGCGGGTGCGGCGAGGTCTCGCCTGTCGGGAGACTCTCCATGGGATCCCCAGGGGATCCTATGGCATCCCCCCCCCTGGGATCCTATCCCCCCATGGGATCCCCCCCCATGAAGAGTCTCCCTAGCCTGGTGGGCGGCCGGGGGCGCCCCGTGGGCGCCCCCGTGCGCTGGGCGGGCGCGGCGAGGTTTCGGCGGGTGGGCGGCCGTGGGCGCCGTCGCGGGCGTAGGACACATAGCTTGCGGCACGTGGCCCGCACGGCGCTGTGTCGCGCGGCTTGCGCCACGCCGCTCACACCGCACGGACTGCACCGCGCGGATCGCACCACGCAGCTTACGCCGCGGAAGCTATTGCACTCCACACCTTGCACTCCATACCTTGCACTCCATAGTGCCGCATAGGTTTCACGGAAACTATTGCACTCCACACCTTGCGCCACGTAGCTTTCACCAGATATCTCGCACCACACAACCCACACGTCTGCGGTGCAATCGGGTCGTATCGCTCATTGTCTAGCTTACCGTCGCGCTCTCAGTGTTGAGTCCACGCTGGCTCTCCTAGTGTAGATGTGTGGGCAGATCTGTATACAAGCTTTTGGATGTCTGGAGGAGCCGGGATCAATCGGCACTTTACTTGTCCCAGGACAGCCGTGTTTCGGGGGGAATGCATGGCGTTGGCGCCGAGAGGGGTCGTGTGCGTTGAGAAGTTTAGCATCGTGCCGTCAGGTAACAAATCAATTGCATCCTTCTGAGAAGCGTTGAGCGGGCTCAGCAGACAGTGCGGTGTTGCGAATTGCCTCCAGGCGCTAGTGAGAACTGAGCTGCTGTGTTGCGGAAGCCTGGTCCTCGCAGCGTGGTGGCCCACGCAGGGGGGGGGGCAGCTGATTTGAATTTTGTGAGCGGGTAAGGTTTGAGCAAGTTGCGATTGAGTTGTGAAGAGTCCAGCGCGATGGAAATCCGTATTCTTGGCGGCTCCTTGCTTATGAGGCATGGCAAGAGGACCTGAAGATGTGGCACAGGCTCAGCATGGAGTACAGGGATCCCAATAAGCGATCTCAGATGGCTTCAGTAGTAGCCGCGGCGACAACCAAGGCGGAGGGGAGTAAGAAACGCAAGTCCGAGGAGATGGAGGGCGCGCAGGATGGCCAGGAGGCCGAGAAGAAGCGGATCGTTGAGGTCACCGATCGGGAGGGGCAAAAGGAGCACGTCGTCTCAAGAGAGGATGGTGAGGCGAAGGTTGACGTGGACGCAGATGCGGCCAGCAAGAACCGAGCCGAAGACAAGAAACATAGAGAGGAACAAACGGCCGAGCAGGGAGATGGCAAGGCGCACCATGAGGCGACGGACTTCCTGCAAATGATCGAGGATACGTCCCTGGAGGATGGCGACCCGATGGTGCAGCTCTTCGGTGAGCTGCTCGCGAGGGAAACAGACGTGTTCGCTGTCGACGACGCCGAGGCCTGTGGCGAGGGCGGCACGCGACCCCTATTTGCAGATTTCGCGTTTGAGGACTGGACCACTTTGAGCTTACGCTTCGAGCTGCACCTGTTGATCCATGCATTCCAGCGGGACTGTGACGACCCCGAGAGGCTTGGCATTCCCCCGGAGCACTTGCCATTTTATTATAACAAGTATTATAAGAAGGGGCTGAGCCCAGAGAGTTTTGGAGTCAAAAGCATGGAGGAACTCGTGGGGCTCATCGACGACACTGTGGTGATCGTCGGGAAGGTAGTGGAGTCGCAGCTTCCGACCGAGCACGGCAGCAACATCATTTTCCTGGCGCTGACCGAGGAGGCGCGCCGGGTGCGGCAGCGGCGGGTGGATGCTGGTGACCTCTCCGCAGCGCTCAGCTTTCAGAGCGAACGCTCTGCGGCGCTTGCTGCGGCCAAGGCTGGCACTGCACCTCCAGGACTGGCAGCGGGGGTCGCGCCGCATATCGTTAGGCCTGGCTTCCCAGTGGCCCAGCCCGTGGGCACCTTCCCGAACGTTCCTGCGCGGCCGTGCTATGGGTGGGTGAACGGCCACTGTCTTCGGGGGGATAGCTGCCGGTACTCTCACAAGGAGGAGGACGCAGTGGCAGCCGGCTTAAGGGGGAAAGGTCTGAAGGGCGCGGGCAAGGGCTTCCCTGTCAGCGTCGCCGTCGTGCAACCGCAGGGGGCGATGGCCAAGGCATCCCTGCCACAGGACGGCATGCTGCCTCAAATGGCGCAGATGGGTACTATGGTCAAGGCAGCCCCTCAGGCCAGCGCTGTGGTGCAGGTCCCCGCCGCCCCTGCCTTCGGGACCATGGCCAAGGCTCCGCCGCCCCCGCAGCAGGTCGTTCTGCAGACGCAGGGGCAGTCGACCCAGGGCTTCGGGCCGACTGGCCAGCCACTGCAGCAGCAGCAGCAGCAGCAGCAGCAGCAGCAGCAGCAGCAGCAGCTGCTGCAGGGCTTCGGTGTGCCTGGTCAGGCGGCGTTCGGGCCGCTGGCCCCGGGGCAGGCTGTCCCTGGGCAGGTGCCCCAGGTCGTTCCGCGACCCAGCGTGCTGGTGCAAATGCCGCCGCCAGGGCAGGCGCTGCCAGGACAGCTGCAGGCGCAGGCACCGCCGGCGCCGCCGGCAACTGCACCAGCACAGGGGCAGGCCCAGCAGCCGCAGATCCAGCAGCAGCAGCAGCAGCAGCAGCAGCAGCAGCAGCAGCAGCAGCAGCAGCAGCAGCAGCAGCAGCAGCAGCTCGCCCAGCAGCAGGCGGCGCAGCAGCAGCTCGCACAGCAGCAGCTCGCCCAGCAGCAGGCGGCGCAGCAGCAGCTCGCCCAGCAGCAGGCGGCGCAGCAGCAGGCGGCGCAGCAGCAGAGGTTGCTGCAGCAGCAACAGCTGCTGCAGCAGCTGACCCCGCAGCAGCAACAGCAACTGCAGCAGCAGCTGCTGCAACAGCAGCTGCTTCAGCAGCAGCTTGCGCATCAGCAGGCAGCCCAGCTCCAGCAGCAACTGCTGCAGCAGCAGCTGGCGCAGCAGCAGGCCATGCAGCAGCAGGCCGCACAGCAGCAGCAGGCAGCAGCCCTGGCCAAAGCGTCCCCAGGTTAGCCGCCTACCTGGGAGGCGCTGCCGCACTACACATCGGCGCGACTCCCACGAGGGTGTGCCGCCCAGAGCGGCCGTCGGATGATCCAGAACGCCGGCGTCCTGCGCCAGAGCAGGCCGCGTCGGCGGCCTGCGATCTGCGGTGGCCTCTGGCCGGCAGCTGGCCCTGGCTGAGTGCATGGCATCAGCATCGTCAAACTATCCCCATCCCCATTGGGCCGTGGTAATCATTTTATCCTATCTCAGACCACTGGGCGGCCATGGTATCTCCTGAGTGAGGATAGGCCCCGCGATATCCGAAGGAGCAGGCATACATCCCCACCGAGGGGGGTGAGTCGGCCAGTGGGGCCAAGGCCAGGCCAGCGGGGATAGGGATCGGTTCAACGATGCTCATGGCAGGGAGCGACGGAGGTGAGACCCAGAGGAGCGTATCAGTTACCGCCAGCGCCGGGAGATTCCCCCTGCTCCTCCTGCTCCCCCCTGTCTCTCTTCTCCAGCATCTCGTAGATCCGCGCGGGTTTCTTGGATCGGCACTCAGCCTCCCTCCCATAGATCGCGGAGCGCCCCAGGGGCGGCGCCAGAGGCGCCGCCAGGGTGGCCCAGTGCTGATCAAAGTGCCCGCGCGGACCTCCCCGAGTGGATGCACATTTCGCCCGCTCTTCTTCGAGCGAGCTGGGGAGATCCCAAAGCGGTGCGGCGACAGACTGTGCGGTGACCTCGACAGCCCAGTGCCCCTGTACCTCGATCCCTGTCGGTCGGGGGATCCGCCACGGATCGCACACCTCTCCATCCATGGATCGGTGGGTCGGTCTCTCTCGATCGGTCCGGGGGTGCGGTGCTCCGGGCCAGCGTGGGCCCGCGGTGCCGGAGAGCGGGGCTCGGGCCCTGGACGTGCCCAGACCCGGCCAGGGTGTCTCGACCGGCCTCCCCAGGGGGAAAGCAGAACGGCAGCGCGTGAGCAACCTACCCCGCTTTCGCTTCCGGGCAAAACCAAGTCATGCCACGCGCCTCCTCGTCAAGCGGCCTGACCAGTGCAGGCTGTAGTTTGGCATCGCTTGGTATCTCTTGGAAGCGAGGGTGGCCAAAAGCGAGGCAGGTCTGTTATCCCCCCTGAGAACGGCAGCAGCGCAGGCCTGCGGAGGTCCGCTCGGATCTCCCGGCTCGGCTAGGCCCTGGCGCGCCCCGGGGGGGGGGTCCACCGCGGGCGGGCCCAAGACGCCCGCGCGAACCTGCGGAGGTTTCCGTTCGTGCAGTCTTGCCTTCCTTTTTGCAGTGTGCACGCACGAGGAGACATCGTACGATCGAAGAGCATGGTAAGGATGAGCAACTGGCCAAGGTTACTCTTGCATCCATGCCCCGTCGGCCCATCCTTGGCAGCTTTCGCTGGCCAGCCCCGTTCGAGAAACGCTAAAATGGCCTTCCAAGGCCATGGCATCCTTGCCGCGCATCCTTGTGCTGCGTTTTGACTGTACCATAAGAAACCAATGGGCAGATCCCTCCTCGATTCTGAGCATGACAGAGTGCCCCAGGGCTGCGGCCCCGTCGGGGGATAAAAACTATTGTCGTAGGGCACCCGTTGGCAGGTCGAGACGGCACACGCGCCTACACCGACACCAGGGACTTCCCCTCTTCCTCATTCTCTCCTCTCCTCTCCTCTCCTCTCCTCTCCTCTCCTCTCCTCTCCTCTCCTCTCCTCTCCTCTCCTCTCCTCTCCTCTCCTCTCCTCTCCTCTCCTCTCCTCTCCTCTCTCTCCTCTCTCTCCTCTCCTCTCCTCTCCTCTCCTCTCCTCTCCTCCTCCTCTCCCCTCTCCTCTCCTCCTCCTCCTCCTCCTCCTCCTCCTCCTCCTCCTCCTCCTCCTCCTTCTCTCCTCCTGGCTTGATATTTGTCTGGCACTGCATGCGTCCAGGCACGTCAGAATCCAGTGGCCACGGCCTCGCCCACCTGGCCTGAGCCAGGCCTGGACGTCTGTCCGCAGCGGTGGTCGTTCGTTCGTCCCCTCGTCGCTCACTTGACGTGCCCCTCCCCATCGTGCATCCCCCCGCTGCGCGCCCCGCCCTGGGAGCGGCAGGCAAGAGGCTCTTCGTCCACAAGACGGAGTTCGCAGTGCCGTTCCCAGACGGCTACGAGCCTCCGATGGAGCGCCTCCAGGGACGGGGGCTCGCCCGGCGGCTGCCGCTTGGGGCTACAGGCCTCCCAAACGGGATCCGAGCGGATGGGGCCGGAGGATTGCGCCGCATCGCATCTGCATCTGTGATGAGGCTCGATGTGGGGCCCGATGCTCTCCACGCCGACGGCGCCGATGTAGCGGCGATGATCTGGCGATGCGGCGCGATCCTCCGACCCCATCCACCCGGACCCCGCTCGGGAGTCCTCTAAGGGTCGTGCCGTGTCGGCGCGAAGGCGAATCCATCGCGGGCGTTCAGGGTTGAACGCTGGCGGCGGCCCGGACTCGGCCGATATCGAGCGCTCTGTGCCTTCGGAGCGCCGCGATCGTTGGAGGCTGCACGACCCACGCGCTGTCCAGGAGCCGGCGCCCTCGTCGTCGCGGCACGAGCCCACCGTCCGCGCGCTGGGATGGTGCCTCGGCTCTGCACAGGTGGGGGCGCCGGCGGCCCCTGCTGCTCCGCTCGTGTCGTATATTCACCACCCACCAAACCACCCCAACCCAACCCGAAGGCTCAGATTTACCCTCGATTTCCAGTTGGGGGGGGGTCGGGAAACATCGAAAAAACACGTGTGGAATCCTTACCCCCCCAACCCGAAATTCGGGTCTTCGGGTTGGGTTGGGGTGGTCTGGTAGGTAGTCATATATGTAGGCTGTGGGGAGCGCTGCTCCCGAGGCTCCAGGCCTTCCGGGCGGGGCCAGGGCGCAGGCGGAGCCGGAGGAGGGCTCCGCATCGCTGGCGCAATCGGCGCCGCGGCGCGATCGGGAGCCCCGTGGTCTGCGTCGCGGAGTCGCCTTGGTTCGTGGCGGTGCATCGGCGGTGCGGTGCGCGGGCCTCTGGCGCCGCAGTGCTGCGCCGGCCGCGGGGGGCATTCCTGCTGCGCGGGTCCGATGGACCCACAAGGGGGTCCAGCGAAGACGGGGCGTTTTTTTTTTTTTTTTTTTTTTTTTTTTTTTTTTTTTTTTTTTTTTTTTTTTTTTTTTTTTTTTTTTTTTTTTTTTTTTTTTTTTTTTTTTTTTTTTTTTTTTTTTTTTAATATATATATATATATATATATATATATATATATATATATATATGTATGTATGTATGGCGCAATCGATTTGTGGGGTTGCAGCAGATCTGGGGCGTGCAAGACATTCTGGTGCAGAGACGTATTGCTGGATTTTCGCGTGCAATGCACTAGTTGCAATACAATGTAATACAATTTCCGGCGCAGTACCTTTGCAATACAATTGCCCCAAATCTATTGCACCACCCCCTTTCAGCTGGACACCTTTCTGGGTCAACCAAAGCGGGCTTCTGTTACTCGACGAGCTTCCAGTGTTCGCCAGTTGGAGCTGCCTTCGCGATTGCCTTTGTCACCACATGGGGCGTTCCAGACAGGGCCTTGCCTTCGAGGATCGAAGGAATTGTCATCTCTACCTCGGCGGAAGGCGGCTGAAGGGTGGCGGAAGGTCGGCGGAAGTAAAACGAGGCCGCCTGCGCCGGCGGAAGCCAGCGGAAGCTCGGCGGAAGGCGGCGGAAGTCAAATATGTGCCCCCAAGAGATGAAAACGTTTTTGGGTTCAGGGTTTCCGGAGTCGGACACATGCCCGCACCGTATAATTTTGCATCCCAGGCCCTACACAACCTAGACTTCGATCCACAGCTCGCACCACTAGGCTCGGCGGCTCAAGGACGCTGCTCGCACAGGCGGGCGTGGGGTCGCAAGTCCCCACCAGGCCGCTTCCCTTCTTCCCTGGCCATGGCGTTGCCTGCGGCCTCCTGCTGACGGAGCGGGCCAGGGACATCGGCACTGGTGCCTGCGAGGTGAGCGCTGCACGGTAGCCCAGCCGTGCTGGACCACATCGACAGTCTGCAACTACTGTCTGATCGTGGGAGCTCGGGTGTATGGGGAATAAGAGAGCCCTTCGACGTGCACTGAGGCAAGTGGCAGTGACTGGAGCGTGCTGGTACCGTGGTCAACACTATACTCGCGCTTCGGCGGCTGGCCTGGCTGCAGCTCATGTTCGTGCCGAACTCTTTGCCACCCCGACCTCAGCGGCCCCTTCGGGCTTGAGGACACCGAGATCCCTGAGTAAGACACAGACTATCACAGTTTGGAGCTACAACACAGAGTCCCTAGTCGTCGCCGACCGTCTTGGCGAGCTTCTTCGCCTAGCCCGAGAGAGACAGGTTGCGATATGTTGCTTTCAAAGCACGCTCATGTCGTTGAGTATTGCATGGCAATGTGAAGGGTATCATATACTTCCGACGGCGACGACTTCGTCTAGGGCGAGGGACGGATGCCTCATAGCAGTCAACAGGCGCTTCTTTGGGAAAGTCGAGATACGGTGTGTGCATGAGTGGATTCCTGGCCGCCTCCAGGGAGTACGACTCAAGCGAGATGGTCCGCGTCCCCGTGACTTTTATGTTCTCAATGGGTATTCGTGGACCAACGAGCCACCGAAGCCGCCGCATGGACAGCCGATGCCAGACCCAGCTGTGCACTACAGAGCCCAGGATGTTTTCTGGCAGCAGTGCTCGGCCACGATATCCAGTATCCCAAGGCGCTCCGCGCTTGTCTGGTGCCTCGACGCGAATGCCTCGATTGCTCCCTCGCCACCCAACATAGGCTTCGCGGGTTCGAGGAGGCTTCAGAGCAGAACAAATCAAAACGGTGCTAAATTTCTCCCAGTGCTTCAAAATCTTGGGCTGATGGCGCTCAATACCTTTGGGAAGGCGACTCGCTTCAACTCTACGTGGGTCACACGGATGGGAGGAGCTGGTCGACCATAGACTACATGTGTGTACGTATGCAGGGAGGGTACGGCCATCGCAGCTACCCGCTTAGGGATTTGCCAGTGAGCCTTGGAGGGTATCGTGACCACCGCCCTGTGGAGGCTAAGGTATATGCGGGACTGCGGTGCAGACGGGCACCGAAGAAAGAAACAATGCGTTGGAATCGTGCGCTCATCATGCAGGACTTAAAGATCCTCAATAGTGCACACAATCAGACGTCGGACGCTCCAACCGCCCCCATCCCATCTCGTGTTGCCCATCTTCAGGATGCCTCTGCCCAGAGGGTCGCCGAGCTCCGACTCGCCGAAGACTGGCAGAGCATCTGTGGACCAGGACGACGCTACCCAGACACCTCTGCCTACTTCAATGCCCTCGAGAGCTTCCTCGTCGACGCCGCCGTTGGCATCTACTCGACACAGCCGGTAGGCCAGATGCGCCCAGCTCCCCCGAGGACATCCTGCAGGCTACCGCCAAGACGCAGTTCTATCAACGTTTGATGGTCAGGACAATCCCTGGCAGCTGGCTCTATAAGTCGCTCTACCGCCAGTGCTCGTGTGCAGCCAAGATTGCGAAGACAGCAGTTCGATCACACAAGCGCCAGCAGACGGCCGAGCTGGTGTCCCAGGCGGAGGCTGCGGATCGTCATCAAGACATTCGCCTGAGTTATGCTATTATACGTCGCCTTGCACCGAAGCCTTCGGTGCCAGCGATGACGGTGTTTAACCCAGAGACAGGCGCGGTATGCTTCGACAGTGATGAGGACATGGCTGTGCGGGCTAAGGCTTTGTGCTCCATCTTTTGTGCTGACGAGGTCACTCCACCCCTGATGCCTACCGCCCCGCTCACGGACTTGGGCGATCCGTCTGCGGAGATCACGGAGTCCAGCGCCGCAAGGGCGATCATGAAGCTGCCGAACTTCAAGGCGGCTCCGACGCTGAAGTGGTGCGACCCCGACAACATCGATCACAGCGGACGGAGACCTCACTCGGATGGAGCTGTGGCTGAGCTATGGAAGCTGTGCCTCGAGTTCGTTGCAGGCCCCCTCGCCCAGGTCTTCCAAGCATGCCGTCGGATGAAACGAGTTGCTCAGCGCTTCAAGGATGGGGAGATAGTATCGATTCGCAAGCCCAAAGGGGGCGGGCGAAATGCCCTAGACCATTACCGAACGATCAACCCCATCAACAATATGGGCAAAGCTTTCGCCAACGTTGTGTGCATGCGAGAGCTCCGCCAGTGTGCAGGCCGCCTGTCCTGTGCGCAGTTTTGGGCCCTTCCCAAACGGTCCACGCGTGACGCAGTCGTGGTCGTCGATGAGATCATGCGCCGCTTCCGTGTTTGCAGGGGCCGCACGAACTACCCAGCTGCTGTGCTGGTGGCAGCCCTCGTCGACCTCGAAAAAGCATTCGGTCTCTTGCCTCGTGACAGAATTTGGGATTCCCTCGATAAGTTGGCGATTTCCAGGGGAGTTCGGCTCGCGCTTGAGGCCCTCCACGAGGGCGCGTGCTATATCCTGAGGGACATCAAACAAAACAGCCGTGCAAAACCCTTCTGGTGCGTCGTGGGGTCCGCCAGGGCAGCGTGGAGGGCCCGTCGCTGTTCGTCGCCGTCTACGATCTCATCGCCCAGGAGATTTCGAATCAGCAGGTGACCCACGGCTTCGAGGGCGTCTCGGTTTTTTCGGACCCAACGTTGGCGAACATAAGGGGCCGAGCTGTATTGGAGGAGGAGGAGGAGACTATCGAGGAGGGCGTCTCGCAGGTTAAGTTCGTCGATGACCTTATCGGTTTCGCTATGTTCGAGAGCTTCGACAGTGTTTCGGAATATCTCCAGTTCGTGAAGTCGGTGATCGAGGCCAGTGGGGTGACGATGAACGTGCCCAAACTTGAGGTGTTGATGGTCTCGTCGGGGACGGGGTGTACAAATATTCGCAAATCTATCATCAACCGAACCGCGGGTGTGACCATGAAAGACTCCGCGGGCCGCGCGATCAAAGTCCATGCTCAGAAGTCGGTAACGTATCTGGGTGTCCGCATCCGCGATGACGGCTCGATGTCCGAGGAGCGAAGGCAACGCCTGCTGGGAGCTAGCGCTGCCCACGGACGCCTCTCCCAACGGGCCTTCAAGGGGAACCTCAGCTACAGACTCAAGATTCGGTTGTGGGCCTCGTTGGTCCGCTCTATTATGCTATGGAAATTGCGATACTTACCCAGACCGAACTCCAGAGAATAGAGCGCTGGCAAACCAAGAAGCTTCGTCACCTACTCGGATCCCCTGCATGCGTCCGACATGTCCTGAACGAGGCGATCCGACGGAAAGCCAACGTCTACTCTGTTGTTCCGAAGGCTGCGTTGGTGGCAGAGAGTGATATCTCCTGGACTTGCCCCTCAGGAACCCGAGTGCGACCCCGCGAAAGCGGGTGGGGCGGTCCTGTTTGGACGGCTGAGCTTTGAGAGGAAAGTGGGTCCCAGGAAACCCGTGGGGCGGATCTCGCTTTTGCTTCAGGATCTGCTGGCGCTCTGGTCATCACTGTCTGCTGCCCGTCGCGCTGGAGCCCCCGAAGCCCCTGCGCAAGAACCAGTTGTGTCGAAACCCTGGCTGACCTGGTTCTGCGGACTCGAGGAGCGTGATCTTCGGGCTGTTCTTTCCTTCGTGCGGATTGCGATTCTGGGCCTGCTGGGGAGGAACGCCCTGATGGTACTAGGTATGAGATGCTCCTGTGCCCAGAATGCGGATTTAGGTGCAGAGATCCCAAGGGCCTCGACAGCCATCGACGTCAGAGGCATGGTATTGTAGCCAATCGCCTGTCTCTCCCGCAAGTTTGCCTTGACAGTATTGCCTGCCCACGCTGCCAGCAGAAGTTCACCGGGAAAGATACGCTCCTTCGACATATCGAGGTTCCAAGGTGTCCAGTGTTGGAAGCTGCTGGGGTTCAAGAGGCTCTTCCCGTTCCGCGACCTCCACTGGCCCCTAGCACTCGCCGCGATGTTCACCCCGCTGTCGGAGGTGGTCAGCAAGAAGAGGGACGCGGGGGTGGCCGAGGAGAAGACAGTGCAGGACAGGGTTCTGATGGAGGGGCCCCACCGCCAGCTGACCATGGCGATGGCCAAGCTGGTGCTGCAGCACGAGGACGACCTGCGCAACCAGAGGCGCGACGTGAACGTGGTCCTCGCGCAGCGCGCCGACGCGAAGCTCCAGCTCGCCCTCGAGGAGGGCGTCGACAAGTACAACCAGGCGGGCAAGGGGGCGAGGCACAAGGATGCGGACGACTACAATGGCCACCCGTGGGGCAATCGCCCCGACGCTCTGATGAAGATGGTGCTCTTCCGCGTGTCGGAGGCCTTGAAGGACAGCGAGGAGGCGCTCAAGGCCGCCATCGCCCGAGGTCCCGAACCCGAGGCCACGCTCCAGGCCGTGAAGCTCATCACCGAGTGGGGGGCCAAGATCCAGGATCGCGACACGATCTTCCACGCGACGCGCTGCTTCATGATCGCCGCGGAGGACGCGGACGGCAACGAGGTGAAGAAGTGGATCTTCGCCGTCATGCGCCACCGCACGCTCCACCAGGCCTTCGAGCAGCTGCGGGACAACGGCGGGGGGAAGGCGGTGGGGCTGCTGTTCGAGAGAGACGCAGCGCCTCGCAGCCGGGCGGCGAAGAAGGTAGAGAAGTTGGCCTTCAAAGAGGGCAAGGGGGTGAAGGGCAAGGGCAGGGCCAAGCGTCAGAAGAAGTGAGGGCCCCGAGAAGGCCCAGTAGCTCCCAGACGGTGTTAACAACATTTTTTATTCTCTCATCTCGAGGGGGTGGCGCGTATTTTTTTCTGCGGGGTTCGCTGGCTCGTTTCGTGGCCGTCGGCCCCCCTGGGCCTAGAGGGGCTCGGGGGGCCCTCCTCGCAGTGCCGCCCCCTCAGAGGATGGGGTGCGCGAGGCGGGGGCCGAGGCGCTCCTGGGCGCTCCAGGGCTCCTCCTGGCCCTTCCTCGTGGCCTCGTTTCGTCCCGTGCATTCCAGAGGCTCCGATCGAACAGCTCGATCGCGCCGATGCCCGATCTGTTTTCGGCACGGTAGGTAGTGTTACTAGCCCGGCACGGGGCCTCCAGAGCTGTGGACGAGAGGGGGCAGTGGCTTGTGTGTGTGTGTGTGTGTGCGTGTGTGTGGAAGTCAAATATGTGCCCCCAAGAGATGAAAACGTTTTTGGGTTCAGGGTTTCCGGAGTCGGACACATGCCCGCGCCGTGTAATTTTGCATCCCAGGCCCTACACAACCTAGACTTCGATCCACAGCTCGCACCAACTAACCTCCGCCACATGCACGGATCTCCATACATTTTGTCGCTAAAGAATCATATCGACTCCCCCCCCCCCCACGGGTTTAGCGCGCCCCCCCGTGGCAATTGTAATTTTCATTCCCCAAACAGAGCTTGCCTCTGTAAGGGTCCTAGCGGATTCAGATGGTTAGGTGAGGTATGGCGCCAACTTCGGCGGCAAGCCCAGGTGCCTGGGTGCCCCGGTGCCCTGGTGTCCAGGTGCCTGGGCGCCCAGGTGCCCTATAGCCTTATAACCCTATAGCACAATAGCCCTATTGTGGCCCTGTGGCCCTATAGCCCTATAGCCCTATAACCCCATAGCCCTATAGCCCTATAGCCCTATAGCCCAAATGGCCCTATAGCCCTATAGCCGTATAGCCCTATAGCCCTATAGCCCTATAGCCCTATAGCCCTATAGCCCTATAGCCCTATAGCCCTATAGCCCTATAGCCCTGTAGCCCTATAGCCTATGGCCCCATAGCCCTACAGCCCCATAGGCCTATATCCTTACAGCCCGATAGCCCTATAGCCCTACAGCCCTACAGCCTTATAGCCCTATAGCCCTATAGCCCGAATAGCCCTATAGCCCATAACCCTAATAGCCCTGTGTCCCTTTAGCCCAATAGCCCATAGCCCTACAGCCCTGTTGCTTTGCGGCCTTATAGCCCGATAACCCTATAACCCTATAGCCCTATAAACCTATAGCCCTATAGCCTGATCACCCCATAGCCCTATAGCCCCACAGCCCGATAGCCCTATAGACCTATAGCCTTATAGCCCTGTAGCCCTATAGCCCCATAGCCTTATAGCCCTACAGCCCTATAGCCCTATAGCCCCGTAGCCCGATAGCCTTAAACATATTATGATGAGGGGTTTCTCTCCGGTATCATATGATCCTGCCTAGCTTCTAAATTTCCGTGCGAAGTCGTGCCATCCAAGGCGACTTGGCATCGTCCCCTCTCGTCCTTGTTGATTCACTGTGTGCGCGCAGTTGTCTGTAGTAGAAGGCATTCTTTCCATAATCCTTTTGTAAACGCTGGCACGAAGTCCACATGGGGGCACACATGTCGAGATCATAGCAGCACAATCGCACGCACACACACACACACACTAGTTATGCAAACGTCTCAGTCCCAAACGCAAGCTTTTTTCTCAGGTTTCGCATCGAAGAATTACAGATTTTGTGCCCGCGCGCACTTGTTGAACTCCGAGGAAGACCATATAAGTTCAGCACTTTCGCCCAGAACTCGCATTCTCATCTCACCACGCGGTGCATCCGCGTTGATCCAGCATGCACCCAATGCGCGAATCCGTATCATATAACATCATGCGGGCCACACGCATGCGCCGTCACGCGCGCGTGTCGAAACCCTTCCTGAACCATTCGTTTTCGAAGCATTTCACGATACAGCTCCTTAAACACATATGAACAACCACATGCTATCCCTCTAACGGGCTGCGAGGTTTCTTGAATGTTTGCGCGCGCATTGTCTCACCATCGCCCTCATCAGCGCCGCCGATCAACACATGAACATCATCCTCGTGATCGTCGTCACGGGCGTCGGCGCAATCATTGGCCTTGCCGTCGTCATCGTTATCATCACCACCACCACCACTGCTACTATCATCATTATTGCTGCCGCTGTCGACGTCATTATGATACCGCTCCCGCCTGAGTCACCGCCCCGTACTGAAGTGCCCGCGCGCCAGCGCGGCCTTTGAGACGCGCTGGGAAGTTCGTATCGGTGAGCGCCATCGCGGCCGCGCCTGTCGTGCCAAACCAGCTAGCCGCTCTGCGCGCGAGCTAGCGCGCGCTAGCGCAGCCGCAGAGATGCGCCAGCCAGTGCCAGATAGTCACCACAATGTCGGCCGCATGGGCTGTGCAGAACAAGTTGCGGGTGGGAGGGTGCGGTGATTGCGTGGGCAGTGGGGTTGGTGATTTCAAGTTCTGCATTATTGATTGCACAGAGTAAACTGCACAGCGGTACAGTGGAAGTGGCAACGGCCCACTTTTTGGGGCGATGGCGAACATTATTGGAGCAGAGTGACAGGCCCCCCGGCGCCCGCACACGACTGCAGGTGGAGTCTGGCGGAGGTGCTCGGGGCGCGATGGTTTCCACGGCAGCGTTGCAACGACGCCCCACGCCTCGCCATCACCCCTATGCCGAAGTCGGGCGACGTAGGCGGATGTGATGACAGGCTCAGGGGGGCCCTGCCCAGGCACGATCGCGTCATGCAGAAAACACGACGGGAGTTTTTTGGCCGTGTTTGGCCTCTGGGAAGAAGTGCCGACGCGTCTCTTCGTCAGCGCTGAGGCTTCTCAAGACTACCGTGCCTTGCGCAACCAGGGCCAGGAGGTTTGGCATCGCGGTGCCCCAATCCATTTGGGGAGCCAAACGAGTATCCGGCCCACGCTTTTGTTGAAAAAGACGGGGGAGGAGGTGGAGGAGGAGGAGGAGGAGGATTACGAGGAGGGCGGGGAGCAGGAGGAGGAGGAGGAGGAGGAGGAGGAGGAGGAGGAGGAGGAGGAGGAGGAAAAGGAGGAGGAGGATTTCGAGGAGGAGGGCGGGGAGGAGGAGGGGGAGGAGGAGAAGGAGGAAGAGAAGGGAGGAGCAGGTGCAGCTTGGGGTAGGCCGCCTTCTCGACCCCAGGCGCTGGAGGAGGGCAGAGCAGACCTTGCAGCGCGGCAGGTGCCTCACGCCCACTCTGCGGCGGAGGGCGTCGCACGGGGGGAGGGCAGGGCACGCCTTTCAGCTTCTTCCTGGGCAGCGACCCGAAGAGCGGGAAGCAGCGCGCAGTGGACCGCCCCGCGCTTCGCTCTTTCCGTGGCCTCTCGTCGAGCTCCCCGAAACGGCGGGGCCGTTTTTCCCGGCAAGGGCACGGGCCCAAGTTTCTCTCTTGGTTGGTTTACCCCCCGGCCCCGACGGGAGGTGGGCCGGCAGAATCATTCTGCGATCAATTACGAGGTGAAGTGTGAATATTCAGTTGAGCAAATGCGTTTTGCGCTTGCCCGCTCGAGGGAAGTTTGCCCCCCATCTCGGATCCTCGATAAATACCGGGGTCCGCAGACCACCGTTTTCCATTGTGAAAAAGAGGGTGTGGCGCGTTTTTAGCAGAATCCTCAACCAACAACCGAGGTCTGGAGCCCCGACCGCGACGCGGAAAAGCGTCCTGCGCGCAGGAATTTCGAGGACGTCTCGCGCGTCCCGCGTCCCGCGCGCATGAATTTCGAGAATGTCTCGACTCATTCGCTGGTTTTTGCATGAATTTCGCTAGGAGGGCCTAGGAGGTATCTAACATGGTAGTCCCGAGCTGGAGCCACGTGTTTTCACGTGTCCAGGCCACCCAGGTGGGTATCGAACATGGTGGTCCCTAGCTGGAACCACTTGTGTTCACGTGTCCAGGTCCCCCCAAAAAGAGGGTATCTAACATAGTGGTTCTGAGCTGGAACCACGTGTGTTTACGTGTCCAGGCCAAACATGGGGCGTATCTAACATGGTGGCCCCGCGCTGGAACCACGTGTTTTCACGTGCCCACGCCACCCATGGGGGCCATCTAACATGGTGGTCTCGAGTTGGAACCGCGTCGTTTCACGTGTTCGGGGCACCCAGGTAGGTATCTAACATGGTGGTTCCGAGCTGGAGCCACGTGTTTTCACGTGTCCAGGCCACACAAGGGTGGTATCTAACATGTTGTGCCCTAGCTGGAACCACGTCGTTTCACGTGTCCAGGATACCCAGGTGGGTATCTAACATGGTGGTCCTGAGCTAGTACCCACGTTTTCACGAGTCCAGGTCCCACAGGCGGGTATCTAACATGGTGGTCCCGCGCTGGGGCGACGTTTTTCCACGTGTCCACGCCACCCACGGGGGTATCTAACATGGTGGCCCTGAGCTGGAACCACTTGTTTTCACTTGTCCAAGCCACCCATGGGGTATCAAACTTGGTGGTCCCTAGCTGGAACCACGTGTTTTCACGTGTCCAGGCTACCCAGGGGGTATCAAACATGGTTGTCCCGCGCTGGAGCTACGTGTTTTCACGTATGCAGGCCACCCAGGCGGGTATCTAACATGGTGGTCCCAGGTGGGTATCTAACATGGTGGTCCCGCGTTGGAACCGCGTGTTTGCACGCGTCCACGCCACCCAGGGAGTATCCAACCTGGGGGTCCCGAGCTGGAACCACGTCCCACACAGGAGGGTATCTAACACGGTTGTCCCGAGCTCAAACGGCGCGTACGCCCCCTGGCATGTCGCCTCGCACGTTCCCTGACACGTTCCGTGGCGCGTCCCGTGGCACGTCAATCGGCACGTTCCGTAGCGCGTCCCCTTTGGCACGTCCCGCGGTGCGTCCCCATGGCACGTCCCTTGGCACGTCGCCTGGCGCGTCCCTTGGAACGTTCCGCGGCGCGTCCTCCTGGCATGTTCCCCTGTCAGTTAGCTCTGGGGGGGTCACTATGTGCTCAGGCGGCTCGAGCTCAAGATCCATATCAGTTCGGTCAGGACTCGGATGCAAATGAGAACTCGATCCACAACGCTATAGAGCACAATCGCGGCATGGCACATCGCAATTCAGCACGGCGCAGCACAGCACACCCCTCGGCACGGTACATCAAGATCGATACACTCAGCATTGCAACCTGGCACGCTCCCTGGCACGTTCCGTGGCGCGTCCCGTGGCGAGTCCCCCTGGCACGTCGCGCGGCACGTCCCCTGGCACGTCCCGTGGCACGTCCATTGGCACGTTCCGTAACGCGTCCCCTTGGCACGTCCCGCGGTGCGTCCCCATGGCACGTCCCTTGGCACGTCGGCTGGCGCGTCCCTTGGGACGTCCGCGGCGCGTCCTCCTGGCATGTCTCCTTGTCAATTAGCTGTGGGACAGCTACTATGTGCTCAAGCAGCTCGAGCTTAAGATCCATATCAGTTCAGTCAGGACTCGGATGCAAAGGATGACTCGATCCACAACACTATAGAGCACACTCGCGGCATGGCACATCGCGATTTAGCTCGGCTCAGCACAGCACAGCCGTCGGCACGGTACACCAACATCGATACACTCGGCATTGCAACCTGGCACGTTCCCTGGCACGTTCTGTGGCGCGTCCCGTGGCGAGTCCCCCTGGCACGTCGCGCGGCGCGTCCCCTGGCACGTCCCGTGGCACGTCCATTGACACGTTCCGTAACGCGTCCCCTTGGCACGTCCCACGGTGCGTCCCCATGGCACGTCCCTTGGCACGTCGGCTGGCGCGTCCCTTGGAACGTTCCGCGGCGCGTCCTCCTAGCATGTCTCTTTGTCAATTAGCTGTGGGGCAGCTACTATGTGCTCAGGCAGCTCGAGCTTAAGATCCACATCAGTTCAGTCAGGACTCGGATGCGAAGGAGAACTCGATCCACAACACTATAGAGCACAATCGCGGCATGGCACATCGCACTTGAGCACGGCGCAGCACGGCACATCCCTCGGCACCGTACATCAAGATCGATACACTCGGCATTGCAACTTGGCACGTTCCCTGGCACGTTGCGTGGCGCGTCCCGTGTCGAGTACCCCTGGCACGTTGCGCGGCGCGTCCCCTGGCACGTCCCGTGGCACGTCCATTGACACGTTCCGTAACGCGTCCCCTTGGCACGTCCCGCGGTGCGTCCCCATGGCAAGTCCCCTGGCACGTCGCCTGGCGCGTCCCTTGGAACGTTCCGCGGCGCGTCCTCCTGGCATGTCTCCTTATCAATTAACTGTGGGGCAGCTACTATGTGCTCAGGCAGCTCGAGCTTACGATCCATATCAGTTCGGTCAGGACTCGGATGCAAAGGAGAACTCGATCCACAACACTAGAGCACAATCGCGGCATGGCACATCTCAATTCAGCACGGCGCAGCACAGCACAGCCATCGGCACGGTACATCAAGATGGATACATTCAGCATTGTAGTGGCCCGTCGTCCAATCAGGTGTCTTTGAAGTTGCCATGCCTTAGATTTCTATATTTCTTTCCGGGTTCGTGGGTCGATCATGTTCCCGGAAATGGCACAGGCCCAGGGTTTTCTTTTATATGGTTCCCCCCCAGCCTCGACTGGAGGTGGGCCGGCAAATTTCATTTGAAATAACGAGGTCGAGGTCTGCCAGCGAAGCAACATTTGAGGATGTCCCGAGCGAAACGCTGTTTTTTGCAATTCCGATCGAGAACACAGGATAAAGCAAGTATTGTCGTTTGTTGCAGATCTCTCGAGCGAAATGTTTGTTTTGCGTAATTTGTTGAGGATGTCTCGAGCGCATTGTTTGGTTTTTGCTATAGATAGTTTCTTTCCTGGGGCCCAGAATTCAGAGGATGTCTCAGGTGAGATGCTTGTTTTCACATGCCCAGGTCTTGAGGATGTCTCGATCGAGACGCTTGGTTTGACGCCTCCAGGTTGCCCAGGCAAATGTCTAACATGAGGATTTGTTGAGGATGTCTCGAGCGATACGCTTGTTTGCACGCGTTCAGGTCGTCCACGTAGATGTCTAGCATGAGGACGTGTCGAGGATGTCTCGAGAGAGACGCTTGTTTTGGCTTGTCCAGGTCGCCCAGGCGGATGTCTATCATGGGGATGTGTTGAGGATGTGTCGAGCGAGACGCTTGGTTTCACGTGTCCAGGTCGCCCAGGCGGATGTCTAGCATGAGAAGGTGTTGAGCACGTCTCGAGCGAGACGCTTGGTTTCACGTGTCCAGGTCGCCCAGGCAAATGTCTAACATGAGGATTTGTTGAGGATTTCTCAAGCGAGACGCTTGTCGCAGTAGAGTGTGTCGCAGTCCAGCCCCGCCCGTCCGTGGGGCGTCCCCTGGCGCCCTGGCGTGCCCCCTGGCGCGTCCCTTGCGACGTTCAGGCGTGACGTGCCCTGGCACGTCCCCTGGCGCGCCACTCGGCGTGGCACGTTCCCTGGCTCGTCCTCTGTCGCGTTTCCTTGCTCGTCCCCAGGCGTTTCCCCTGCCCGTTCTGTGGCGGGCACGTCCCTTGGCATGACGTCCTCTGGCCGCCCGATGGCACGCGCTTGGGCACGTCCCGTGGCAGGTCCCTGACACGTCCAGGGCACGTTCCCAGATGCGTCCCCTGACACGTCCCCTGGCGCATCACCTACTGCGCCTGTGGCACATCCTGTGGCGCGTCCGTCAGCCTGTGCCCCGTGTCGTGTCGTTCCTTTTCGGAGCTGAGTCGGATGTTGAGGTCGAGTTGATTGAACGTCCTCCACCTTTCCACTTCAACCAGCTCTGGGGCGGCTACTATATGCTCAGGCAGCTCGAGCTTAAGATCCATCTCAATTCGGTCAGGACTCGAATGCCAAGGAGGATTCGATCCACAACGCTATATAGCACAATCGCGGCATGGCACATCGCAGTGCAGCACGGCGCAGCACAGCACAGCCCTGGGCATGGTACACCAAGATCGATACATCGATCTTGGTACACCAAGATCGATACATCGATCAGCCCTGGGCAATTGCCCTGGGCAACACAGCACAGCCCTGGGCATTTGCCCGTCGCCCGATCAGGTGTTTTGAAAACGTTGCCATGTCTCACATTTCCATATCCCTTTCCGGGTTCATGTGTCGATCATGTTGTCCTTGTCCGGCTGGCTGGCCGTGCAAGTGTTTTTTTTGTTTTGCGTGAACCATTCAGCCAGCCTTGGCAGCTGGCAGCTGACCTCACGGCATTGTTCTCAACGCCCGGCTGTTTCGACTTGAAGGAATTCACGAGTGGAGGCCCGAGAGTGAATATTAGCCAGCGTTGACTCCAGATATATTAGATGAATCAAATCAAGGAGTCAGCGG